TAATAACAATATAAATAACAATAACCAACTGTACCAATAACGATAACGACACAGAGAAATGAAATTGTTGGAATCACATTTAAAACGATCATCCAGTTTTTTCCCATCAGAATCCAACTGACTTAGAAAAGCTTGAGCATTTAAAGCGGCAGATGGCATAACTGCAATGCATGATTATAATAAACAGAAGTTATTGTCCATATATATTGATGCTATTATAGTTATTGTAGTTATCTTTACAGTTACCATTCTTGGTGTGAACAGGTCTTAAGAGATGCCAGAATTAGACTTATTCTTGTAATAATAATTTCCCACAATCCCCCCCACCAAGATTTCCTATATCATTACAAAAGACAAAAACAAATCTCAGACCTTATTTAAATGCTTTAACTGATCAACAAACCAACAGCAGGTCCCTTGATGAACCCCTTCATCATCGGCATGCCTTTAAACCATGAAGTATCAAGGGAGGTAAACAAAAATATTACAAACACCAACAATATTCCACATCCTGTTATTTTCAGGCAGCTGAATCTTAGATATCTGACACTACTTTAAAACATAAGAGCAAAAATCAGCCTCAAATCCAAAATGAAGCTTCTAATCTACAGAGAGCAACAGAACATAAGAGCTATGTTAAGATATCGCTGCTGGCAGGTTTGTACTGCATTTGGCTTTGATTCTACGGAGTCTTCACACATCCAAACAAACCCAAACACATTCGCTCTTCTCCTTTTCCTCAAGAGACAGAGGGAGACACTTTGTTTTTAACGCATGCCTCAACAATATCCTTCCTAAATATGTTTATTTATAAGTATGCTACAGCCTGTATCGCTATTAATTTAGCTCATACTTAGTGATAGTTCACCCCAAAAGGAATCAAACATTTTGAAGAACAACACTGGACCGTTTATTGTATGGGGGAAAACATATTTAAATATAAACATTCATGCTGTCAAATGATTAATCGCGATTAATCGCATCCAAAATAAAAGTTTTTGTTTACATAATATATGTGTGTATACTGTGTATATTAATTATGTATATATATAAATACACACACATGCATTCATGAAGAGGGGAGAGAGCGAGAGAGAGAGAGAGAGAGAGAGAGAGAGAGAGAGAGAGAATAAAAAAAAAAAGAAAACAATTATATATCTTCTATTTCAAAGAAGAACAAAGTATTTGATTTTTGGAACTATTTCTTGAAGAGAAAAGGTTTTTCAGAATGCCCGAGTATTAAATCTCAATCAAACATAAAACAAAGTATCAAAGTTACACACATGAACCTCAAACTTTGTGATTTATTGAGTAGAGTTGTGCTTTTTTAAGCAATAAGATGGACCTGAATAATAACTAGAGATTCTAATATTATATTGGGATAGACTCTTTTAACCTGAATGTGTTAAAAACACTCAGAAAACGTTAGAAACCACACAGGAAGTGCTTCTGCATGAGTGAGTACCACTCTACTGAAAAGTCTAGTTAAATTTTCACTTGTGCTGTGAAAAAACCAAACGAAGAAAGGAGACGAAACACTGCCGTACACTGAAACTTAAAATTGTTCTCATAGCTGGGACTGAACGTTTCCACAGTTTGAGGATGAAAATCTCCCCCACACGTTAAATTATCCACAAGCGTTGACTTTGATCCGGGAGGGGGCCGCGATGGAAGCCGCTAAACTCTCAGCGCTACAGTTTTGGGTGCCCTCATTTCAGGGCTGAATGTATTAAGGAATAGTGACACGATCAAGGCTGTTTTTCATACTGGTCCCGCTGATAAAGATGAAAGCGTCGAACCAGACGAATGCGTCCCGGCGAGATCCGCACAAACTTTTAACATACCAACTGCTGTGATGCTTCTGTAGAGCTTTTCAGTGAAAGCAGGAAATTGAGATGACAGGGGAAGTGAAGGAGGTAGAGAAAGATGGAGAAAGATGGGCTGCCCTCAAAAAACTGAAAGAGGAGCTCTCAAGGAAATGATGAGGACGCATATCTTTTAGCGCAGTTCAAACTAGGTGATGTTTTCAATTTTGACTTCCTGCACAGTCCAGCGAGCAGCTCTAAATGTTGAAACTGAACACTTCGCTCTTCTAATATCATCCCATCAGTGATATTGAGGCCAAACGACCACTTGGAGCCTTTTTTTAACATGAATGAAACGAGAAACTAGATTGGTCAAGGTAATGAAAGTAGAGACATAACTGGTCAAAATGCATATAAGTATGTGACAGAACATAAAAAGGGGAAAAACATTCTTCCGGCACAATGGTATTGGTTAAAGAAAAAAAAAAAAAAGATTGGTAAAACATATTGCATTAGTCAAAACTAACCAAAATAAATGTTCTGAATGTCTTTGTATATATAATATAGAGTGGCATGCGAAAGTTTGGGAACCCCTTGCAGAATCTGTGAAAATTTGAATAATTTTAACAAAATAAGAGAGATATGTTATTTTTCATTCAGTACTGACCTGAGTAAGATATTTTACATAAAAGATGTTTACATTTAGTCCACAAGACAAAAAAAATAGCTGAAATTATTAAAATAACCCC